AGGCGATGGCTGCGGCTAGGACAGGCTGAAAATCTCGGATCGACGGAGACACTAAATCAACATCGATAGACGGGGAAGCATCACTCGGAGGTACTACACCGGAAGTGGTGGACGGGATGCTCGAACTCGAAGTTACGACACCGGCAGCGCCGATGGGCGGGAAGCTCGAAGCTGAAGGTACAACACCGGCGGGACCGATGGACGGGAAGGTCGAAGCCGAAGGTACAACACCGGCGGGACCGGTGGACTGGAAGCTCGAAGCCGAAGGTACAACACCGGCGGGACCGATGGACGGGAAGCTCGCACTCGGACCGATTCCTGCACCCGATCCTGAAATCTGAGAAAGGGGAAGGGGGGTTTTGCGCAAAAAGGCCAGTACCAACACCAGGCGGAGACGCTTGGCGGACAACGGGGGGAGGGACAACGGTAGAGAGGATTACATCACCGTCGCGGTACGAGGGAGGCAAGCGGGTGGCCGATAGAGAGCATCCGATATCCGAATATGCGAAACTAAGCCGACCGCCGAAAAGGTGCACACCCCTCTCATCCAACATTATCCTGTGCTTTTTCTGCGTGTGGTGCAGAGAGAACAAGTTGAACGAAATCCCTGGTACGACGTACACGTCTGTCAATTGGACACAGAAATCCGCTTCTCCCGATCGACCTCCTGCCATGTGAAATGCCAGATTGACACTACCTACGCACTCCACGCGCAAATAAGCACCATTGCCTACTTTGATGAATTCTTTGCCGGGGGGAACAGGCGAGATGTTGTACATTTTAGAGCTGTTACTCACAAAATGGTTGCTTGCACCGCTATCAGACCAAAATACCTCCCTACCAGGACTGTACTCGCAACTCTGTGCAGACAAAGCAAAGCCAAGATCATCACCACATACGACACTGCTTACATCACTCGAAACCGAAAGCGAACTCATCTCGTCAGCGGACACAAAGTGTGCCATCAGGGAGTGGAGATGCCCAGGCGGATAGGTTGCTGCTCCGGGAGAAGGCGACTGGGGCGGGGCATGGGTGGAGTGCTGCTGCCGCTGCTGCTGCTGCGGCTGAAACGACGGCGGTGGCGGAGGCTGCGGTGGTGGCTGCTGCTGCTGGTAGTACGGTGTCGGAGGCGGGTAGTACGGCTGCTGCTGGTAGTAGTCTGGCGAAGGCTGCGGCTGCTGCTGCTGCTCCCACCCGCCATACTCGGTACCATTCGCCGGCCCCCCGTAGGGCATAGCACCATACGCGTGCATCACATTAGCGTGCCCGTACGGAGGCCGTCAAGGCGGTTGTGGCGGACGAGGGGGCGCTGAATACCTGTGCTGATGCTGTCCTCCGTAGCCGCTGTGAGGTCCGTGCTGAGGCCCACCGCCCCAGCCCCCCCCACTGTAGCTCGGCTGCTGCGGCGGCGGTCCGTGAAGTTGCTGTTGCTGAGGCTGCTGTTGCTGAGGCTGCTGTTTCTGAGGCTGCTGTTGTTGTGCCTGCTGCTGCTCCTGCTCCTTTCGACGGTCGCGCTGAGTGTAGCACTGGGCGTTGGTGTGGAACAAGCGCGGATGTAGGTAGCAGTGGTCGTCGTCGGCTCCTCTCTCACCTCCGCCTTTCTTGTTTCCTCTCACCCTGCTCCTGCTCCGACTCCGGGCGCCTCCGTCTCCGTTCTGACCCCCGCCGTTTCCACTCGACCCAATTTGTACACGTCCATCGCCCCGGATGCCACCGGAAGCGACGAACGCGTGCCCCGCGCCATTCTTCGGTTCCCCCTCCCGACGGCGAACCGAGTCCGCATGAGCATCTCGCACAGCCTTTTCAATTGTCTCGCGCGAGGGGGGAATCGGTGACATGGTCAGAATCTTCTTCTCTACCGTGTACTCGTCGGAAAGGTGGTATACCATGTGGGCATTGGCATCATCGTCGGAGAAAACAACACCGTGCGAGGCGAGCCTACTGCGCAAAACAGCAAATCTCCCGAAGTACTCTTGCGGGGTCTCCCCTACTTTCATCTCAAGAGCGTGATATTGAGATGACAGCCTTTCTTTTTCGGCCCTGGCACGCGGCTCGTAATAATCGAGGAATATCTTCCAACCTCCGCTTGGGCTACCATCGGCGATGATCTGGGTTAGGATCGGCATGTATGTCACTGTCGTGATCAGCAGGTTCCACGCCGTTATTGCCTTTTCTACCCTTCCATTCGAATGCACCCTACGCATCTCCTCCATGCTCATGCCTTCTTTTCCGACTGGAATCTTTTCGTCAGTCAGCACTACGTCACGCACTCCTTCCTGGGCAAACATAGCTACCATGTTCGAAAAATCAAAAACTTAGCCTGCTCATCCTCCCCTTGCTTGAAAACACCATCCCAAGGCGCTAGGCGCTTAGTCTCAGTCATTCGAACCGTCCCTGCGTTAATGGGTACTCTACCCATGTCCCCTGATGAGACGTGAAGTCGACCGGTGAGGGCGTCGGCGAGTGTGCGGGCGATTTCGTCGGTCGTCGGGTTGGCCGATGGCCGCCCCGCGTGTTGCTGGTGGCGATCCTCGTGCTCTCTTCCGGTCCGGACGTCATCTGTCCTCCGCTCCTCGGCTCGTTGCCTCGACATCTCGGCCAGTGTTGCTTCTACCCTCTGGTCGACCAAGTCGTTGATCCGGGCTTCCTCCTCTGCTAGTCGGGCGCTCACTCGATCTTGCTCGGTGTCGCTCATCTGTGGCTGCTGCTGATCGCCGCAAAGCGATACTCCAAACTAAGCTCGACTCGAATCTCGTAGACGACGTGTCATACGCTAGCGTGATCGATAATTCGGGTGGCTCAGTTGTGTGTGATGGGAGCGTAGAGCGGCTCGGCCATGACGGGCCGCACGGGTAGGTAAAGACGTGTAGACGTGGTGAAAAACGTGTTGTATTCATCGGGGGCGTGCTTGAGCTCGTCATTCCATCACGGCATCAAGTCACGCATAACGCTTTAACACCCAGAACGAATCTCCATGAATCTCCACCAATCTACTACACTCCCAAGGAAAACACAAAGAAACTTCTTGTTCCTCCGTAGTTCGTCACTGCAATCCCCTCATATGTATACGCAATATACCACCCCCATGCTATGCTACCAGTATATCGAATAGTTTCTATTCCCTTCGTCTGGGCAGCTCCGGATGAGAACAAGTTCCGTCCGATCCCCGGAACTATCATGATGGGTAGACGCGCCACATGCGTCTTGCCGTGGCTGTCGGTAATGCCACACCGCATGTAGCCTGTAGCTGTTCCACGCAGCTTGTGCAGGCCTCCCATGGTTATGACACGGGATGGGACCAGTGTACGATAATCTGTCATCATCGCCTTGATCCCTGGAACCAGTTTGTCGTCGATGTAGTGAGCGGATGCTCCGCTGTCCACCATCATCGGCAAGCAGGCAGTGTTGTGGTCCGATGTGGAGAGGCCTTCTTCCTCTTCCGTGACCGTGAACGAGAATCTCATGGCTTTTGGGATGTCATCGCTGTCTTGATCCGATGTCGTAGAATCCTTCTCCTGAAGTAGCTTGAAGAGACAACAAGCTGATGTGCTTGAACACCCTAACGATGTCTTTCGTTGAGACGCTGTCGCTTGATGACTCATCTTCTTCAGCAGCGGCGTTGGCGAAGTTGCTCTTGCCCTGCCTGTGCTGTTTCCTAGAAGACTTCGGTGCGGCCTTCCTAGCCGCTGATGCTTTGCATTCCGGGGTGTCGTGGGTGGGTGTTTTGTGGAAAGAACACCATTTCTTCTTTCTGGTCGTGTCGCCGTTCTGACGGGGTGTGGATGTATCGCCACGGAGGTTGTCAGTCGATCCTCCCGTCTTCGCGCAGTCTTTCATGTAGTGTCCAAGCTCACCACACGAGTAGCATTTGACCTTAGACGTGTAACGTCTAGCTGGACCAGCTGCCATAGCTGATCCCCTTCCTCTGCGCCCGGATGTTGCATATCCGTTCATCATGTGCATGTTCTGAATAGGCAACTTTAGCTGCTCCAGAGTAAAATCTGGATTGCTCATGACGTGGAACTTTATGTTTTTCAAATCAAGTGCTCCATGATGCTCCATGGTGCTCCATGGTGCTCCATGGGAAGCGTGAGAATCATTTTTCAAATCAAGTCTCCATGGCGCTCCATGGTGCCCCATGGTGCTCCACGGGAAGCGTAGGAACATTGTGCAATTCAAGTCCTCCATGGTGCTCCATGGTGCTCCATGGTGTTCCATGGAAAGTGCAGAAAGCAAATTACAAATCAAGTGCTCCATGGTGCTCCATGGTGCTCCATGGAAAGCGTGAGAAACATTTTTCAAATCAAGTGCTCAGGAAAATGTGTGAAACATTTTACAAATCAAGTGCTCCATGGTGCTCCATGGTGCTCCATGGTGCTCCATGGTGCTCCATTGAAAGCGTGTGATACATTATACAAATCAAGTGCTCCATGGTGCTCCATGGTGCTCCATGATGTCCCATGGGAAGCGTGACAAACATTTTTCACATCAAGTGCTCCATGGTGCTCCAAGGTGCTCCATGGTGCTCCATGGGAAGCGTGAGAAACGATATAAAATCAAATGCTCCATGGTTCTCCATGGTGCTCCATGGTGCTCCATGGAAAGACTGTCAAATATGTTACAAATCAAGTGCTCCATGGTTCTCCATGGGAAGCGTGTAAAACCTTCTACAAATTTTGTGCTCCATGGTGCTCCATGGAAAGAGTGTGAAACATGTTACAAATTAAGTGCTCCACGGGTCGCGCAGCCGCAGTCGCAGTCGTGCACCCAGGAAGAGCAAGCGTTCGCGTAGCCGTAAGCCCAGTCGCTCACCCAGCAGCCGCAGCAGCAGTCCGAGCAGTAGCATCCGCAGTAGCAGTAGCAGTGATGCAGAACCGGTTCCCTCGCGCTCCCGCCGCCGCTCCGACCGCCGTGCCCGCCAGCGCGCCCGTTCTTTAGCCCCAGACTCGCAGGACGCCCGCCCGTCCAACCACACCCGTTTCCAGAGCCTGGATCCGCAGGCTCTACGGGACGCCGGTTGGTCTTACACGGAAGCGCCTGCTACTGGGGGGCTGCACGCGTCCAGTCATCCTGGACCTGGCCAGTACTACGCTGGGGGGGCGGACGCCGGAGTACTGCCCGCTCCTGCTGGGGAACCTCGGGGAGTCGACTCGCCCCACGATGGAGCCCGGCCGGCTGCTGCAGAAGAGCGTTCTTCATGGAGGGACTCGGCCCCGTCGGCGACAGGTAGACAGGGTTATGATTCCAACCAGACGGCTAAGCTTGTAGATCGTGCGCGTAAGAGGATCGTAGGGAACAAGCCGTGTCCGGTGTATGCAGGCCCTTCCGTAGGCCCTCTCACAATAGCCAACTCTGATCGATAATTCGGGTGGCTCGGTTCTTTGTGGTTGGAGCTCAAAGCGGGTGGCTCATGGCGGAGCGTGGATGGGTAGGAAACGTGTTGAAAACGTAATGCAAAAGTATTGGAAAGTATTGGAAAGTATTGTATTCATCGGGGGCGTGCTTGCGCTCGTAAATCTGTCACGGCATCAAGCACGCGTCACGCTCATCACGGTTAAAGTACCAAACAGACCTATCCGAATCTCCATCAAACTCTTCTCACTTCCAAGGAAAATGTCCAGAAAGTTCTGGACCCTTCGTACCCCATCACTGCAATTTCCGTAGTTATGTGTACCAAAGATAACCCGTCATACTATGCTACGAGTACCCCCAATATATCTAATAGCCCCCCTACTCGTATGCATCGTCATGCTCCGAGAAAAACCAAAATGACCCGTAGTCGACCGTACCACGAAGGCATGCCTTGTCAGCAGTCCTGCTTACTTCAAAACAAAACAAACCATCAAACCAAATTCCTCTTTACCATCTCTCCAAAACAATCAAGAAAATTCTCAAAACAAACAAAAACCAATATCTTCGCGCCTGGTGTCCTCCGCTGCTTGGCGGGCTTCCGCTGCTGGGCGGGCAGAAAATTCTCAAAACAAACAAAAACCAATATCCTCCGCTACTTGGCGGGCTTCCGCTGCTTGGCGGGCAGAAAATTCTCAAAACAAACAAAAACCAATATCCTCCGCTACTTGGCGGGCTTCCGCTGCTTGGCAGGCAGAAAATTCTCAAAACAAACAAAAACCAATATCCTCCGCTACTTGGCGGGCTTCCGCTGCTTGGCGGGCAGAAAATTCTCAAAACAAACAAAAACCAATATCCTCCGCTACTTGGCGGGCTTCCGCTGCTTGGCGGGCAGAAAATTCTCAAAACAAACAAAAACCAATATCCTCCGCTACTTGGCTGGCTTCCGCTGCTTGGCGGGCAGAAAATTCTCAAAACAAACAAAAACCAATATCCTCCGCTACTTGGCGGGCTTCCGCTGCTTGGCGGGCAGAAAATTCTCAAAACAAACAAAAACCAATATCCTCCGCTACTTGGCGGGCTTCCGCTGCTTGGCGGGCAGAAAATTCTCAAAACAAACAAAAACCAATATCCTCCGCTACTTGGCGGGCTTCCGCTGCTTGGCGGGCAGAAAATTCTCAAAGCTCAATTCGTCTACTTTCAGTCATACGGAGAGTTGCAGGGTGAGGCACTGCACCGATATCCCCTGATGAAGTCTGGAGGCGACCGGCCATGGCAGTCGCAATCGCGTCGGCCAGATCGTCTGCGGAAGGGTTGGGTGTTGGCCCCCAGGTTCTTGCTGGTGTGGTGCCTCTTGTTCCTCATTTCCTCGCCGGAGATCTTCTGATCTCTGCCGCTCGGCTCGATGCCATGCCTCCATCTCGGCCATCGTCTTGGCCAGTTTCTCCTCCATCAGCTGCTCCATCCGAGCTGCTACTCTCTCGTTGATTGACCAGTTCTTCGATCCTGTCGTCCTCCGCTGCTTGGCGGGCTTCCGCTGCTCGGCGGGATTCATCTTCGCGCCTGGTGGTCATCGTGACCCTGCTCTTGATCGCCGCAAAGCGATGCTCCTAAACCAAGCTCGACCGCGAATCTCGTAGACGACGTGTCATACCGCTAGCGTGATCGATAATTCGGGTGGCTCGGTTCTTTGTGGTTGGAGCTCAAAGCGGGTGGCTCATGGCGGAGCGTGGATGGGTAGGAAACGTGTTGAAAACGTAATGCAAAAGTATTGGAAAGTATTGGAAAGTATTGTATTCATCGGGGGCGTGCTTGCGCTCGTAAATCTGTCACGGCATCAAGCACGCGTCACGCTCATCACGGTTAAAGTACCAAACAGACCTATCCGAATCTCCATCAAACTCTTCTCACTTCCAAGGAAAATGTCCAGAAAGTTCTGGACCCTTCGTACCCCATCACTGCAATTTCCGTAGTTATGTGTACCAAAGATAACCCGTCATACTATGCTACGAGTACCCCCAATATATCTAATAAACTCCGCTGTTTTGCTGCAAGACAAAGTCATGAGTGTGCTTCGCAACATCGATTCGGGTAGGATGAGGTTGGAACCGGATGTGTTTGTCAACGGCAAGTACACCACCGTAGCCGACTCCCTCACCCCTCGCCGTGTAGAGCTACTCTCCGACTTGGCCCACGAGTTCATGTCTGTCAGCCAGCAAATCGCAACCGCCGCCACCGTCGATGTGTACAACCTGTCGGGCGAAGTCACCTCCAAGACTCACGAGCAAGTAACAGCCACCGACTGGTTGCGATTGTACGTAAGGGAACAAGCTTTGACTGGTGGTGCCGCGGAGCTGGCACAAGCCGCTTTATCTGCGATGAAGTTGAAGCCGGGCGAAGGGTGGTCCTCCGGGGCCGCCCGTGTAGTGTCAGCTTTCCGTGCCGCACGCGCCGACCCCGAACGCCCGTTCATGACCGAGCAGGCATTTTTCTGGTCCTTTGTGACTCCAGTAGAGATGACGGCTTTGTATGAGAGAGTTGTAGAAGTGCTGATGCCCAACGCCTTCGACCAAAACGGCGCATCCGCGATCCTGCACGAGAAGACGTATCGTACGAACACCGTTCTGAATCCGTTGCGCATGGAATGGCACGACCCGAAGGGTGCGGCTATGTCGCGGCGTGGTGAAGCAGCACAGACAATGTTTCGCGATTTTGTCGGCATACTTGCTTCCCGCAACGCCTCGTACATCAAGCCCACGGCCACGGCTACCGCAGCACGTAAGCAGGTTCTAGTCGAGGGGCCCGACCGACTGTACTCCATGGCGGAGGCCCGATCAATGTTTGTCCCCCCGGAGCACGGCGCGTCTCCGACGTTGCCGCCGCCCCCGTTGACTAAACCGATTTCCGCCCTAGCGCATGCCCCCGTGCCTGCTGTTGCCGGAGTCCCGCAGGTCGCCGCCTACCAGAACCACACGGCTACCACGCCGGGTGGACACGGCGTGCCGTTCGAAGCTCGGCCGCCCGCCACCCGCCCGCTGCCGGTTTCGGACCAACCGCCGCCTGCCGCGCGTGCTCCTGCTGCGGCCACGCCCGCGGAGGAACGCCCGCCCCCAACGGCGGACCGGAACGACATTCTCGACTACTTGCGCTCGCACAATCTCTGTTTCCGTTACGCCTTTTCCGGCAATTGCCGTCGCCCCTCGTGCAAGTGGACCCACGATCCGTTTCCCGCTGGCTTCTACAAGAGCGTCCCGATGAGGCAACAAGGCGGCGCGGGCCGACACCGAGTGGCGTCGTTGACGGAGGGGCAGTACCAGTTGGCATGCGACATAGGGATTTTGACGCGGGAAGACAGCGAGGACGAGCAGGATGGCGCCACTTACGCTTCGGCCGCACCTGACGGTACTTCCTGAAGGTGCGCCCCAGGCACGGCACACCCTGGCCTGGGGGACTCGTTGGCAGCTGTGGACACCGCGCCCGGTAAGGAGAAGAGTGGTAGAGACCAGTTGTGGGTAGAGGGTCAGGTTTGGCACCGCCATCGCCGCCGCCGACCTCGGTCGGTGGAAATCCTGTTGGATACCGGCGCTGGCGGTGGTAGCTACATTTCCCTTTCGTTTTGGCGTGGGCTTAAGCGACTTCTCCGGCGCAGTTTGGATGTGAGTAGAGCAGGGGCTCTGGAAGCAGCCAACCCTCATGACAGTCAGACCCCACCGATGCGCATCTTAGGATCAGTAGTGTTGCCGATACTGTTCCAGGGTGATGCACGAGTAAGGAGTGTGGACGTGCGTGTCGTAGACGGGTTGCCATACGGGTTCATAGTAGGAGCGGATTTCTGCTTGACTTTAGCCCTGGCAAAGGCTTTAGGCCCGTGCCAGCGGCACCGTGGGTACCGTTCTTAGACGCTGCACCACACGCCCCACCTACTGCTAGCCCCCTCTGCCTAGCACGGGACCGGTTTAGTCTGCTCACTGCCCTCGAGACCGCCCCCGTGCTAGAATCGCCTGCTGTTCCCACAGACGTTCCCAGCCATGAAGACATCGTGTGGGAAGACGACAGCTCTTTCGAGTGGGACGTGCGTCAAGTTCCCGAGGCTACCGCGGTGGAGGGCTTTACGGCACGCGCGATAGAGGCGGCTGCAATAGGGCCTCAACCGCAGGACAGACAGCTCGTGATGGTCCTGCCGACAACGCGGTTTGATCTCGAGCAAGATGCGGTAGTGGGAGTTGCTCGTTCAGTGATGTGGTGGATGCCAGGGTCGCCTGTCTACTGCAAGCTTGTCAATCGTGGTAAAGAGACGGTGTCGGTCGAGGGTAGCCACGTGATAGCTCGCATGATAGCTCTCAACGTTCGGGACCGCCCGGGTTTTGACTCCCTTTTCGATGCCACCCCTGCCGCCGCCGATCCGCCGTAGCCACCGCGAGAGGCCAACCCGCCCCCCGATCCAAGCCCGGCCGTCGATCCCAGCCCGCGAGTTCGTGTAGAGGATGCCAACCTGGGGACGCTAGGGTCACTCAAGAAGCAGCAGCTGGTCAACGTGCTTGCTGCTTTCATCGAAGATGGCCTTTTTCCCATCGATCCGAAGCGTGTGCCTGCTTGCATGAACGGTGAGCTAGAGCTTCCTCTGATCAACGAGTTTTGCACTCCGTTCGCAGCCAAGCAACGACGTTTTTCTCCTGAAGAACGTCGTATGATTCGAGCCGAGATACAACAGTTAGTTGACCGGGGGGTGATACGGCAATCCATGTCCCCGTGGGCAGCCCAATGCTTGTGCGTGAAGAAGAAAGACGGTACCCTACGGCTGTGCATCGACTGGCGTGAGCTCAACAAACTCTTGGTTTCGGATAGCGGAGGTCTAGGCGACATGCAAACGATATTCGACGGTTTGAAAGGCAAAAAGTATTTCACGCAGCTAGATCTCGCCTCAGGTTTTCACCAGATGGAAATTGCCGAGAAGGACCGTTACAAAACGGCCTTTCGAGACGCTGATGGTATGCTTTGGGAGTTCACTCGCGCGGGTGTCGGATTGACGGTGCTGCCGGCGGCTTCCACGCGTAGAGTAAAGTCGGCCATGGGGCAACTGCCTGGTGTGTTTAGCTGGCTTGACGACATCCTCATCGCTAGTGATACGTGGGAAGAACACCTGGCCACCCTTACGCTCGTTCTGACACGCCTCTTAGCTGCGGGATTGTCAGTAAACTTCGCGAAATGCATCTTTGGCGCTGCGTCTCAGGAGTTTCTTGGCATGATCATTGACGGGACGGGTCTGTACCCTGCCCTGTCCAAGCTCGACGCGATTGCCCACATGCCTCGCCCGTGTACGGTAGAGGGGTTGCGCACTTTTTTGGGTTTGACCGGCTACCTTCGGCAGTTTGTACCCAACTACAGTCTGACGGCGGCACCACTCACCAACATCTTGCGCAACAAAGCCTTCGCCTCGAAACGTGCTCGCAAGCTTGCTATCCCTTGGACCGCTGCAGAAGAAGACGCTTTTCGGTCGTTGCGAGCCACTTTGGCTTGCCCAACCGTGCTCGCCTTCCCCGACCTCGAGCGGCCCTTTGAGCTGCACACCGATGCTAGCACGCTAGGCGTAGGAGCTTCACTCATGCAGACGATCGACGGCGCGACAAGAGCAGTAGCATTTGCGAGTCACAGGTTTTCGCAGACGGACGCCAGAAGGGGCCCTACCGAGAGGGAGTGCATGGGCGTGTTGTGGGCGGTTGAACACTTTCGGCCGTACCTCGCGGGTAGGCAGTTCAAGCTGGTGACCGATTGTTCCGCACTGACGTGGCTTTTCCGAAGTAGAGAGCTCTGCCCCAAGTTGCACAGGTGGGCGCTTCGGCTCATGGAATACGACATGATGTTGGAGTGGAAAGCGGGAGTGGAGCACGTGGTGCCTGACGCTCTCTCTCGGCTACCTATCGCTGGTCCAGCCGTGGTGGACGTCGACGACTCTTTCCCGGATGACATGTCGTCGGCGGTTGCCGGCGCTGCAGTAGAGCCTCTTGGCCCAGAGCTGGATGGTGTAAGGTTGGCTGAACTAGACCCCGTACAGGCAGAACCAGCAGAGGACGCGGTTGTCCATGATCGTGCCTCACATTCCGCCCTGGAGGCTGTTGACGCTAACCTTTCCGCCCTCCGAGTGTTGCCTTTTGCGACGTGCGCGGCGTTGGATGCTGAGTCAGGCGGCCCCCGTAGAAGCGGCCGATCCCGCACGCCGTCCGTACGTCTGCGGCCCATCGGCGACGTACAGTTGCCACCGGTCGGGGAGACGGGGCGTCTACCGAGCAGGATGGCGGCCGGCCCTACGCCAGTCGAGTCGGCAGACCCGGTGCCCCCGCTCCCGACGCTTCCACCGTTACCCGTCCAACCGGGCCATGACGACATCGGCGAAGTGCTTGCTGCACGGGGGGAGGTTCCGAGGTCGTCCTCAGGACCAGGCTGGAGTGGAACGGCAGTCATCGACTCGACTGCACAGGTGCTCACCAAGCCAGCCCTGCTGGCTCAACGGCAACGAGACGACACTCTCTTGGGTCAGGTTCGCAAGAGTTTGAATGAGAATGCGAACACTAGCCAGGGGGGAAGGGCGGATAAGCGGTACGACCTAGGTGAAGATGATGTTATCCGGTACGTGGATGGTAAGGGTAGGAAACTGCCCGCTATCCCCGACTCCATGGTAGCAGACATCATCGCTCTGGTACACACGCTGCATGGTCATGCAGGGACGGGAGCAACTTTGTCCTTACTGCGAGATCATTTCCACTGGCCCACGATGACGCGAGACACCCGACAGTACGTGTTGTCGTGTAGTTGTCGTAGACGCAAGAGACCGCAGAGCAGACGGGTAGCCATGATGCCAGGTAGACCGCTCGAGCCGTGGGATGAGCTGCAAATGGATATCCTCAAGATTGACACGCCGTCGCTGACCGGCAACAACTACGTTCTGCTCGTGGTAGACCGCGCCTCTAAGTTCCCTTTCGGTTTCCCGTTAGAGACAAAGCAGGCAGTAGGCGTTGCGCGCGTCTTGATCGAGCTATGCCTGACCTTCGGTGTTCCAAAAACCATTCGCTGCGATGGGGGTTCAGAGTTCGAAGCGGAGGTAGTGAGGCATCTGTGTAGGTGGTTGCATGCAGACATCGTGTTTGGCCCTGCGGATCATCCACGAGGTCAGGGGTCTGTCGAGAGGCTGGGGGGATGGCTCCAGGAGCTATTGGCGGAGCTGTGTAGGTCGTGGCCTGACAGGTGGGACGAGTATGTTTCACCGTCGATTTGGATCAAGCGTACACTGCCAGACACTTCGCTCCCCTCCCACATGACCCCTTTCGAGCTGCTGTCCGGCCGCAAGCCCCGCACGACTTTGGACTCGTTAGTGCCTCTCACAGACGAGGTAGGACAGGAGCGAGGCCTTGACAATTTCGTGGAGCGACGCAAGCAGAATCTCCGCGAAGTACGGCTGGCACTCGAGAAGCGCCACGAGTTGCAGGTAGCGGCGCGGGCGAAAGCCAACGCGTCGATCGAGCGGTCATCCGCAGGAGTGGCGGTGGGACAGGACAGCTTAGTGCTGGTCCGCGAGACCGACAGTCGACGACACCGAGATCGCAGAGGGAGGAAGCTGCAGCACGACTTGTACACAGGGCCCTGGAAAGTAACGGACGTGATACAACCGGGTCTTAGTGTAGGAGTCAGCATGCAGGGTAGAAAGAAGCGTAGCCGGAGAGTGTCTACCGCCGATGTTAAGCCTTTCCACCTTCGACCCCCCCCGCTCAGACATTCCATCGCCGACGAGTTCGCGACTTACGCTTGGGGACCCGATTTCAAACTCCCTGCGGGGGCCGCCGAGATGTTCGGATTTGTCTCCATTGCGGACTGCCGTAGAACCCGATCAACCTCTGGCGCTCAGTTAGTTTGGGAGTATAAGGGGATGTCTGGAAATGGGGTGGTGTCGGACTGGGTGTCAGAAGAGGTCATGCTGCAGAGTTTCACGCCCCTTCAGTTGGATGGCTTCGTCGCACTGTGGCATCTGTACTACCCGCAACGCGCCACCGATCCTTTGCCTGTCTTACCCAAGTCCCGTGCCCCGCTGTCGCACGCCGAAGCTCTGAAGCTGTTTCCGATAGGTTGCACCTTCTGGAAGGAACTGGATGGAGGAATCAGGGTACAAGGCCAGGTGTACGACTATCTCCACCCTTACTGGCGTGTACGTTACAACGACCAGAACTGGGAAGAGCTCTCCCGCCGAGAGCTGGAGCGACTGGCGAAGTAGCGGCCAATGGCTTGCGTGGCCGGACTATGGTGCCTTTCGATTGCAGAACGTTCGTTTCTTAGACGGGGCACGGCCGTTTTCAGGTGGTCCAGAGACGCCAGTACACGAGTCGGTTTTGCGCTGCGTTGGGTGGTAGGATGTAGGTGTTGATTCCTAGGGATAGTGCGTCCGTATGCAGGCAGTCTTACTATGCCCGTACACCGGTCGGTACGTGCTGATTCCCCCGATGCGTGTGGGTGGTAGTTGGAAGCCCTAGGAATAGTGCGTCCGTATGCAGGTAGTTCTACAATACCCGTACACTAGTCGGCACGTTCTGATTCTCCCAATAGATAGCTAGTTTGGAGTATGTACCTTGCCGTAGCGCGCGTAGTTCACGGCTTCCTTTTGGCGAGTAGATTGTTTCGCGTGTCTAGACGTACTATTTTATTTAGCCCTTGTGAAGCGTAGGGTATTTTGAGTGTTGTATGTGTCCTGATTGTACTTGTCTAGCCGGATGATTTGATACCTGGTTGCTGATTTTGCAGTACCCGGTAGCACCCTTGTGGGCACTTCGTAGTGGCGTCTTGATGCGTGGAGTGTGTTGATTTTGTGTCGTAGGTGTACGAGTGCCATCGCAGTGATCGAATTGTACGGTTGCAGCTGCGGTGTGGTTTTGGTTTTGGTTTGGTGTTGTAGGTGCTTTGCGCAATGGGATTATCCCTGGATGGCCAGTTTTTTCCCGCGCTGTAGATGAGGGTCGGGCCAGCCACTACAGTGAATTCACCAAGTGAAGGACGGTTTTTTGTAAGAGTATTTTACGTCCAAGTGGCACTTGGTGTTTTCGGTCGCTGGCCTGAATTCTTTGACCCTCGGGATGGGGGCGAAGGGTTTCTCCCGGACACCGGGTTTTTCCTTCGCACAAGTCGATGTCGGGCCTGTTCAACGCGCAGTGACAATGTCGAGACGAGCGGTTTTTATGTAGGTTTTTTCGCTGTCCCCTCTCGATATTCTCGGTCGAACTTTCGGTCCAACTTATAGGCATCGCATGGTAGTTTTTCAAGAGGAAGTGCGCCACTTTGCGGTGTCCGCAATTCCCGCTACCGTTTAGCATGTGACAGCTGACAAATAGCTGTTCATGCTAGGGGGGGTGTCACGGTTAATTTAGTTACGGTTTCAAGGAGTTGCACCTTTGGGAGGTTTGCATTATGCCCATAGGGTGCTGTATAGTTCTGTACATTCTTCCGCAGAGCTCCTTGTAGAGCGTGTCGCCCGCGCACACGCTGCTCACTTCCTTTGTTGGCACTTGTGCTTAGCAATAATCAAAGCGAATACCGTATCCACGACCGGAGACCTTCCCCACGTTCCACAAGCCTCCTTCTAGGCTTTCTCTACCGCTGTTCAAGCGCTCCTTCGAACTCGGTGCAAGAGCGAGAGACTGCTACCAACAGGTCGGTAGCTGTTTAGTCACCATTTAGTCATGCGTGGGATCCTCTCAGAAACCAGACATGTGCATATGTGGCCCCTGCGAGCCTTGAACCAGAAGCTCGAGTCTTCTCGAACAAGACCTTCTCAAGTCACAGGATCCCTCTCAGATTACAGTCTCTCCACTTGCTACACATTTTACAAATCAAGTGCTCCATCGTGCTCCATCGTGCTCCATGGGAAAAGTGTGAAACATAGTACAAATGAAGTGCTCCATCGTGCTCCATGGTGCTCCATGGTGCTCCATGGGAAGCGTGAGAAACACTTTTCAAATCAAGTGCTCCATGGTGCTCCATGGTGCTCCATGGGAACGGTGTGAAACTTTTTACAAATCAAGTGCTCCATGGTGCTCCATTGTTGTGGGATTACACGCGTAGCGATCCCTGTAGACCCTGATGAAGACTCACTTGTTTATTTATCTCTTGGAACAGCAGTGCTTGCTGTTGCTTTGCTCTCAAAGGTAGACTGAGCACAGAGGGGGAGGACATGCTCCCTCTAAAAGGGGCCACAAAGGTCCTGTCCCCTGTTTCATCCTTCCATCGGGAGTTACATCTCCCGTACTTTAATCTGGGAATTACTCCGCAATACCGTTGGCACTGGCTACTTTCAAATCCCATAACACTAGCCCACCCTGGAGGTTCTCATACGCAGATACTTGAAACCTAGGAACTTGACAAATAAATTGTCGAATCCCAAAAAATGAAAGGATCGAGGATGTGGCGCTCCAAAATACCAAGAACCACCCTCCTCCCACACCTCTCACACGATGAGTCGCAAAGGCATCGTTTGACCCAACCAAAAAGAACGAAAGAGAAGGAAAAGACGGGGGCTAAGAATGAAACAAGGGGACAATAGACACGACAATAGAAAACGTCAACGCTACAAATACCATAACAGGTCGGAACCCAAAGAAAGGAAGAAAACGCTGGAAAAACACCGTCGGAACGGCGAAAACCAACCATATCGACAAAACGATACAAAACACGAAGCAACCGGTGTCGCCCAACGACTAAAAGCGACGAAAATACTCACGACTACCCCGTATAGGCTAACTAATCACAAAGAAAACCTAATGACGCCATAGGGCGACGTACGCAAAAAGGTAAGAAACCAATCGTTTCGACAGCGAAAACCAGGGAGCCATGACCCAGAATAAAGTCCGACGAAATTAAACCGCCGCGGGGAGCCGAAAGTAAAGCTCAACCACGCGACCGGCGAAAGAAACAGAAAGGCAAAAAGGACTCGAAAGACAAGACGACGTACCAGGCGGAAACAAACCGATCGCCAGAATGACGGAGAAAAAGGGGTCGAAATACCAAAACGAGGCCTAACACTGCGCTATCCAGAGGCAACAACAGCCCACTACACGTACTTGCAAATGAGAGGACCGGACGAGATCAGGGGCGACCTCGAGTCCGCATCCCATCTAGGATAGAACACACACGTCACGCAGGTAGATCCCAAGACACACACGCTTGCTAATCGGTGCGTGCCGGATCATTTGACGGCGAATGCGCCGCCTCCACGTTTCGCGACATGTCGACATTGCGAAGAAGTCCTTTAATGAGGGCGCTACCGCTGTGAACTTGAAGTCACCACGAGACGGCCGATCCGAGGGTAGAGCAACGAACAACGGAGAGGGCGATCTTGACCGGTCCGGGGTCGTCGAGCAAGCGTACGATGTAGCGGTCGGCCCGTTCAGTCGGTCCAGAAATCTTGCCCAGCCACCAGAGTTCATCTTGAGCCTTGTACCAGAAGAACGCACCCACAGGTAGAGGAGTATCGGCGAAACGACGGTCCCAGGTTGAGCGGGAGACAAAGGAGTAACCCGGAGGCAAATCCTCTTGCCCTTAGCACGTGCCAATTCGCGTGCGGCTGCGCCAATACGCATTGCACGGTAACGGCGATTCGTCCGACGGTGTTGATCGGGCGTACCCGTCCAATACCGGAGAATCTGCGATCGAGAGTGCTGAAGGTCCATCTCACGCTCCCAAGAAGGGCGGAGAAGACCCTTCCAATGTGTCTGATACAGAACAGCGATAACACCACCACGACCGCGAACAGACTGGTGACCAGTAATTTGTTCCACCTCGAGGCGTTCGACCAGTCGAGACGTCATTTTCCGTAACATGATACGGAGGAGATTTGGTCTTTTAGTTGTTTAAAACATACTGCGTGAGACCAGTCGGCAGAAACCGTGGCAGGTCCTCAGCGTCATGCGGATTAGCGCATGGCTTGCAGCGTGCGACCGAAACACGACGTTTCGAGCCTTTGCCCGGCAGGTCCGACGGAAGATCCAAGTATAACAACTTGGCCGCGAGAGGACTGCCATCAGGGGCTTTCGAACAGGGGCCTACAGCCAACACTTTAAACGGACCGGTCCAAAGCAATGATAACTTCGCCTTGAGAACCTTGTCGTCGGTGCCTGATCGAACACCGGAGCGAATGGTAGATTCGGTATTATAGATCCAAACCCAATCGCCGATGGTGTAAGTCGGAAGCTTGTGCAAAGCAACCGAGAGAGCGGAATTTCGACGCTCGATCCGAGAAATGGATAACTTGTGCTGCTCGCGTACTAGCTCGTAAGCACGACGTTGGCGATCAGCCGCGAGGTCGCAATATTGGAGATGGTCGCGATCCAAACTTTGATTACCACGAGCATAAGGATGCTCGATGACAGTCATCGGAAGGCGAGGCAAACGGTTGATATGCACCTCATTAGGTGCTAAACCGGTGGCCGCGCTAACAGAGTTATTATACGCAAACTCTACATGAGGGAGATGGACATCCCAATCATCTTGCCGTTCGTTAACGACCATGGCAAGCATTTGTGCCATAGTATGGTTAACTCGCTCGACACCACCATTTCCATTAGGATGGTACGAACTGGTGGCCACTTGCGAACTGCGAGACGTTTGTAAACGGCTTGTGACAGTACCGAGCAAAATTGTGTGCCATTGTCTGATAAAAGACTCAAGGGGCAACCCCACAAAGGGATATACCGATTCACGAAAATATCTGCAGTACCTTCAGCGGTAAACTCAGCAGCCGTAACAGCGTACATGTCAGCACGCCGACTAAACCGGACGGTGAAGAGCAGAATGTAAGTGTTACCCCTAGGGGTAGTCGGCAGTGGTCCGAAATAATCGACACTCACGGACACTCCAGGTCCGGACGGCAGTGGCAAGCTTAAAATGGGCCACCGGGCCGTTTGTCGGGAAGTTTTACGAGCTTGGCACTTGAGGCAATGACGAATCCACCGTTTGGTACAGACGCTCATGCCTACCCACCGGTAGAAACGCTCTAACATAGACAACGTACGAGCTGCGCCAAGATGACAAGACGCATTAGCGTGACAGACCTGCATGATCCATGGGCGCATCAACATGGGGACGTAAACCCTAATTGGTTGGTCGTTGAGGAGACGTGCCGCACGCCCGCCATGGCGCGTGGAAGTGACAAAAGTGGTTGTGGTGGGCTCCTTAACGAGAAGCACTACGTCATCGTCGTCAACGTGCAACCGGCCTTTATGTGCTAGTTCTCGGATGTCCGAAAACGAAGGTCGACGGTGTGACGGAAGATGGTCAAGAAAACCAGGCGGTAATTCGGGAGGTTGACCTAGAAGGTTGTAGCGTATGGCGGCATCGCACACGGGTTCACCGCGTTGTTCTCGCGCCCAATCAGAATGGGAAAAACGTTCAACCGATTCGCGGAAATCGAGCTCCACGCCCGAAAGCACTGCGGTATCAACAGGCGGCGGAACACGCACCGAACCAAGCAATGGTCCAGACGCGGGCGTCGGCGGTGTCGGATCTGAGCGAACGGCCATCTCCGGAATTGGACTCAGTGGCGCCGAAACGGCGGAATCCACCGGCCGGGAAGCCGAAGATTGATGAACGCGAGGCGCACGAGCTACAGACTGAGGGACAGTCGGCTCGAGAAGCGAGTCCTCCGGCTGGGAAAAGCCATAGTCCACAGCCGGGCGCGGAGCACCGGCGACAGCAGCAGCTCGCCGACGGGTCCGTGTCGAAATTAGATCGGTAGGATCCAGGGCGCGCCTGGATGAAGCACCAGGGCGTGTAGCGGGCGTTTCTGCACCCTGTACAGAAAAAACACCAGCAGCAGTCGAAACTGCAGAACGATCCGAGGCGACCAAGAGAGGGCGGTTGCGAGCGGTTGTAGAGCCCGAAGCACCGATAACAGTCGGGGTTAACCCTCGAACCGACCAGACGCCCGAGGAAACTCCGGAATGAGCGACAGTAGCGCGCGGTCCGTGCTCGCGAAAATCAGCAAAATCAGCTGAAGAAGGCGGTAGCCCACCCAAGACTGAACTCGGGGCGGACGGGACGAGCCCACCCAAGTCAACACTGGCCGATGGCCGGAAGGCACAAATCCACAAGAGCGGATAAAATAAACCGCTTCATCTTCAGCCGACGGAGTTAAACGACTGCGGCCAGAACGGTCACGCTCGGTAGCTTCTATCGGTAATCGAGAAAGGAAGTCAGCATTGCCGTTAGACGAACCCTCGCGATACTCAAGAGTGTAGGAGTATGCCGTGAGGAACTCCAACCAACGTTGAACGCGAGCGTTGTTTTCCACCACCTTTGCAAGGTGTTCAAGGGACTTGTGATCCGTGAAAATCTTGAAGTGGGTGCCCCATAGGTAACCGCGAAGGCGCTTGATGCACCAAATGATACTGCCAGCTTCAAGATCCAGAGGAGTCCAATGACGCTCAGACTCCAAAGTAGCTCGGCTAACGAAAACGATAGGCCGAATAGAGCCATCAGGTTGTTCTTGTTCCAAAGTTCCACCAAACCCATCTTTACTCGCGTCACAGTAGAGGCCAAAAGGGCGCGAACCGTCGGATACAGCATCCCAACCTGGATACACCAGAACTGG